GTTTTGGGTTCAGACTAGAGCTCAAACCCTGGCTCTCTGGAGACATATTTGTCTGCTGTAAAATAAGGTTGTTGAGAGACATTCAGTGACTCAGCGTATGCAGTGATGATAATATCTACGGGAAACACAGCACCCAGTCCTTGTCAGCCACTGTACTAGGGACTGTATAATAGTTGTGTTCATATTATATACACTTGGTATCTTTCTCATTTTTACATGAAGTGTCAAGTATAGCACCTATCACAGTGAATGTACCCAGAATGTACCCAGGAAATAATATTCCCACCTCTCTTCACCCCTGGACTGCTCCTGACTGTGAGAAAAAGTGGAGCCCCCTTTGGGATGAGGAACACTCATCAGAGCAGATAACAGGTGCCCTGGGGAGCTAAGGAGCAGCTTTCAGATCTCAGTCTGGTGCATCCCATAGACGGGGCCAGCTTTCTTACCTACCCAGAGAGCTCTCCTATGTCACCTTCACATCGTGCTTGATAGTGACTCCTGGTACTAACAACTTACCCTAAAGCAAAAACTCTTACCCAGAGAAAAGGACAGAACAGAGTGGAATGTGAACGTCTGCTCTCCTGAGCTGCTGTAGTTGAGTGATCCGTGTCATGTATTACTCCAGGCAGTCTGTCTGTCTGCAGTGCTGCAGCAACCTGGAGGCCTACGTCCATGCTCCCTACCCCATTTCTCCATTTCCCAGCATGCTTTGTTATTGCCTGTGCCTCATACAGTTTCAGTGGCAGCTATGGCCTGGGAGGATTGGGGGACAGATTCCTTCCATATCTACAAAGATGACCTTCTCTGTCACCTACATAGGCAGAGTCACCCCCCTTTCCCTGATGGTCTGGAAATGAACCCCTTCTTCAGTACCCCAGGAGAGAATCTTGGAGGAAGTGGCTCCTTGGACAGAACTGAAAGAAAAACTAATCAGGCTGTTATTGAGCTTTTCTGACCTAGATCATAGGGGTTTTTTCCTTATTTGGGGTACTTGATAATGAGTCTTACTGCACCGATTATCAGAAGGCGTTGGGTGTCATGCATCTCGGGAGCATTGGGAAGCAGGGCAGAGTGATCACATGAAGTAATGTGATTTCTTGCCCCAGGAAGAAAGGAGGAGACTTCAACCTTCTAGCCTATTATCCCCTGGGTTAGAAAAGGCTGGAGACAGGATGGAAAACGTACCTAGCCCAGAATGCTTTCTTCCGGGTGACTGACTAATCCTGACCTCACAGAGATAGCACCTCTCTGGCTGGAGTATTGAAGGCTCACAGATTTTTTTCTTCAGCAGTTGCCTAATAAGGGTAGGAGGAAGTTTAGCAGTTACCAAGAGCTCACGTTCTAGGAACTCGTGTGTCAGTGCAGCAGGGCTTTAGTGGATCCCTCTGAAACCTGAGGTCTCCATCACGTGCTGTTACTCGGACTCTGAATCAATGGCTGGACAGCTGATGTGCCGAGTATATGTCTCTGACTCTCCTGGAGCCGTTCTGTAGCATTCTGCCTTCTAATCATCTGTGTGAGAGGAAGACTTTCTCTCTCTTGAACCTGCAGAGAGGTTCATAGTAAGGAATCTGGACTTAGACAGCCCTTTCTCTTCCTTTGAGACCCAGGACCATAGATGCTAGTGACTCTTGCTAGTGGCTACAACCCAGCTCATGGTATTGCTAAGGGAGCTGCCTTGTAATTTTCTTTTCCTTGGAGGGCTCCCTGGAGAGGAACATTGAAGAGGTTCATGGAGCAATTGTTCTTTTGCTTAAAGGACAAGTAAACAAAAGTTCACTCACATCAAGTGAGGTTTTTCTCCCATTGCTAGAATGCCCTGTGCTGAACAGCAAACATTCTAACATTCTGAAATGCTCGTTCATTAAGTCCAGAATCGCCTTCCTTTATTATTACCTTAACACGATGTGTTAGGTATGGCTGACTTCTCCCAATTAAAGGTTCTTAGCAGGCTAAAGGTGACTGGTAGAGTAGCATGGGTGTTTCTGAATGTGCTACCAGTGTATTCAGTAATAAAAATATCAGCTGAGTGCCCACAAGATATAAGTTCTCTTTTAGGCAATGGGGAGAAGACAGTGAGCAAGTTGGGTAAAAGAACTCATGGCTTCACAGAATAAACACGGTAGTGGGCAGGGACAGAAACAATAAAAATCTCCTGTCACGAATAGTGGTTCACACCTGTAATCCCAGCACTTGGGAGGCAGAAGGGGGGGGATCATGAATTTTCAGCCAACACTGTATAGTGAGCCCCAGGACAGTCCATAGCAAGAATGTCTGTAGAGGCTGGAGAGGTGACTCAGCAGTTAAGAGTATTGGCTGCTCTTCCAGGGAACTCAAGTTTGATTCCCAGCACCCACACAGCAGCTCACAACTGTCAGTAACTCAATCTCCAGAGGATTGGACACCCTCTTCTAGCCTCTTTAGATACAAGGCATGGAAGTGCTGCACAGACATCGAATGCAGTTAAAATACCTACATACATAAAAAATTTTAAACTAAGAAAAGTAAACTGTGCCAGACAGTGGTGGCGCACGCCTTTACTCCCAGCACTGGGAAGGCAGAGGCAGGCAGATCTTGGAGTTTGAGGCCAGCCTGGTCTACAGTGTAAGTTCTAGGACAGCCAGGCTACACAGAGAAACCCTATCTCAAAAAAAAGGTGGGGGGGGGAGAAAAGAAGAGAAAGGAAAAGGAAGGAAGGAAAGAAGGAAGGAAGAAAAAGAAAGAAAAAGAAGAAAGGAAATTAAAGTCTGACTTCCAGTTTCATGCTCATCAGCATTGCCTTGGACATCCCCTTCAAAGGTTAAGGGTCAAGATGGGTCTCTTGCTGCTGTAGCCCCTCTCATCCCTTAGAGGCTTAGAGAACTAAACTGGGATAAAGCCCCGACAGTTGTGGGGGGAGATGCATTCCAAGATACCCACTGGATCCCTGAGAACAACAGAACCCTATACATACTCATACATAGAAGATTTTTTTCCTAAATGAAGATACTTATATCATTTAATTTTAGAGAAAGGGACTTGCTTTGTACCTCAGACTAAGCCTGGGACTTGGAACATTCCTGCCTCGGCTTCCTGAGTGCTGGGATCATAAGAGTACACCACTGTACCTGGTGATCAAGTTTAGAGATTAGGCACAGAAACTGGAGAGAGAATTTACTTGGTAAAATGCTTGCATGCAAGCCTGGAAGCCTGAGTTCAGTCCCCATCACCCACATAAAAATATGCCACATAATATAATCCCAGCTCTGGGTGTAGGCAAAACCAGGAGGATCTCTGGAAGTCACTGGCCAGCCAGCCTAGTCTATGGGGAGCTCTAGGTCAATGAGAGACCCTAGCCCAAAGCTTGCCTATGTTCTCTAAGCACATGTATACACACAAAAATGCACATATACCTGTGTATGCATACAAGTGTACATACACAATAAATTAGGTATAGTAAGAAATTAACAAAAATAATTAGCAGAATAATTAAGCAATTATGACAGCAGAGTTACGTGAACGGGTGTCCCCCTTCTTGTACCATCCTCGAATCTTCTTTCCATGGGATTTGAATAGGAAGCTAGTGTGAGTCCTGCTCCTACACCAGTCTTAGTGAGGGAGTTAGACCTCCTGCCTCAGGAAAGCTGCTCGGGATTCTCTGCTCGCTTAACTCATTGTAAGTTGGAGTACTGGGGAGATGGATGGGGTGTGCTGGCTGAGGGGCAGAGGTGTGATAACCTCCATCCCAGAGGAACCTCTCTGAAAAAGGGATTGGTTGGAATCAGCCAGGGGCTTTGGCCAGATGGGACTTCTGGAGAAAATAATTGATAAAAAGAACCAAGTACTTCTCTGATGACTCTAGAGTTGTGTCCACCACTGTAAACAAAAAAGCATCTGTTTATTACCCAGCCAGTTGGTGTCCCTTGCCAGCCCCTGGCAACATAAACCAATTGAGGGGTTGCTATTTAACCAGAATGGGGCCCCATGTACTTGAGCCTCTCATATCGGAGTGGCTGGTGTATAACACGTAGCCAGCCCTTGTCTGCAGCTGAGCATAGAGTTCAGCTCAGTCTCTAAGCCACCTTCAGCCCCACCCATCCCCAAATACACTTAGCTGTGCCTACACACCTCAGCTAGTGTGTGCTCTAGGTAACTTCTGTCTTGCTGAAGGAAAAATGCCTATCTTTCTCTGATGTGTCACTATGCTAACATGAGTCCCTTTGGTGCTCCCTTACTCTAAGGACAGCGTTGGGGCCTGTTTATGGGCTGAACAGACCGCTCTCTTATCTCTCCTACACTGGAGAGACTTGAACACTCATAGGCTTCAGACTTACACTATCTTTCTTCCTCAGAGGTCCACCTACCCCTTATAGAAAACTGAACCCACCCTGTGTCATAAACTGTTAGCGTGTTTCATTCTTTCCTTACCAGGAAAAGCCTCTGGGAGGGCTTAGCCCTGAGACCGAAATTTGGTGCCAGATAACTGCCATTTATAGGTTTCCAAATTTTCATACCACTGAAGGCTGAGCGTTCTAAGAGACCTTTTATCAGCCTGTCTTCCTGGTTTGTAAACGTCTGTGTCAGGAGTAGATGGTGCACAGGGTGCTTCAGCCCCCTTAGGTCTAGATTCCTTTTCTGATTCTTCTCACATCTTACAGGTAAGGCTAGACTAATGTATCCTGTAATCAGTCAGCCCGTGAAGTGTGTGCGTGTGCGGGGTGGGGAGCATTAGCAGTTACAACCTTTTATATGCGAGTTTCTTAAGTTAATTTGTGTGCCTTGATTTGGAAGAAGTAAGACTTAAAGATGATGTTTCTGAAATAAATTCTCTACATTACCAGCCAGCAGGCCTACCCAGGGCTTCCCATGAGTCTGGACACTCAGCTTAGGCCTTGGTTCTCAGTTCCGTTCAGACACCAACTGTCATTTAAACCCTTCTGCTGGAGAGTACCTTGCAGATCCTGGATCCTCATGGCTGTTCTAATTGTTTCTTTTTGTCTTTTTTTGCATCTCTATTCCAGAGGTCTAGCCATCATCGTTATCCAGGGAGCCCTCCTCTTTCTCCTGACGCCGGCCTACCATCGCAGTTGCTGGTTGTTGTTAAGGTTGCCTCCATGGTAACATGCTTATCCTTTTTACATTTCTATATGGACAAGTAGTCTAAACTAGGAACCTACCTACTCTGGACAACCATTTCCACCCAGAGGACACCAATCATCGTGACACTACGTCCGTCTTCTACTAAGTTCCCCCAACCTCTTCCTCTCTCACTAGTAGACTTAATACAGAAGAAAGGATCTAGGCCTGGTGTTGCTACTCTGAAACTTATTGCACAAGATATTGTCAAATTGTCCCCTAACTGGGCTCCCAGAGAAGAAAGAAGTGGGAAGAAACGGGGAAGAGAAGGCAAGAGACACTGATCAGTTAGAGAGGAAACTCTACATCTTCTCTGGTTGAGAGTCTGGTAACCGAAGAAGGCAAAATGACGAATCCATCAGGACATCACTTGCCAGCCAACTCAGTGGCTGAGAGCTATGAAGGGGAGTTTGGCTGCACCTTGATGGACCTGAGGAAGCTCATGGAGCTTCGTGCAGCTGATGCAGTGACCCAGATCAGTGCCCACTATGGAGGTGTACAGGAAATCTGCGCTAGACTGAAAACCTCCCCTATAGAAGGTAAAAGCCATTTCAAGGGTTGGGGATTGGAGGACAGTGACTAGGATTTTGAAATATTGTCTAGCTTCTAGGGAAAGTACATTTCTGGAGACCCAATAAGTTGGTTTTTTGTCTAGTGGGAAGAGCACAGTCGTCTAAACCAGCGATGGCCATTGAAGAGAGGACATGAAGAGCTTTCTTTCCCTGCCGTGTTTAAGAGCTATGATTCTCAGAATCATTCTCTCCTCCTGTTTTTGTATCAGTCCATAGTATGGGGTACTTCTTTGTGATGTAGATGCACTTATCAATATAATCTATTTTCTCATTCTATGAGATTTTGATTACAGAAGAGCTAGTTTAAGGTGGATATCTTCCTCACACTAATCTTAAAGTTCAGTGCATGAGAAAAGACTACAGGAAGTAATATTCCAGCCATTTGAGTGCCTTACTGTACACAGAAATGGGTTGGCATGTCATAAGCATGACTTTGGATAAATTGGTATTTTCTGTGCTGGGATTACTGATTTTTTTTTTAAACCCTGTCTGATAAAAATTTTTCCCCACCATGTAGGGACCAAATCCAGGGCTTTGTACAAGCCCCACCACTACCACCACTAAACTGAAGCCTCAGCCATCTTTTTTGCTTTTTAATTTAAGACAAATTCTTACTATGTTACTCAGACTGGACTTGAAATCACTCTGTACTGTAGGCAGGCTTTCAGGTCATGATTCTCCTACCTCAGTCTCCCACATAAATAGCATCACAGGCCAGGTATATATCTTACAAGCTCTGAGTTCAGGTATTTGAAATAATGTTTATATCTAGCCCATAGAGTTACTGGAATTAAGTAGTATGGTGCACATGTGCGCATGTGTGTGCATGTTGAAACTGATAATAGGTGTTGAATAAATTAAATATAGGCCATATGCCTGGAGATTTTGCTAGGGTGTGAGCACCCATGAGTTTCAAAGAAACATAGTCTCTAACATGGCTAAGGTATGTGTGACTGCAGCTGCTGTCTGTTCCCCGTGCTCCCTGTCATCTCAGAGGCCTGATCTTAGGATGACAGTGCTTAGTTGCTTTCAGTCAGCTCCCTGGGCCGTCTAGCTTGTGTCTAATACTACCTTTTGGATACTGTCCACTTCCTGCTAGCTGAACTTTTGTTGCTGTTGCTTTTGGTTGGTTGGTTGTTTTATTATTTATTTATTGAAATAAGGTTTCATTCACTCCAGAGCCCAGGCTGGTCTCAAACGCAAACGAATCATCCTGCCTCAGCCTCCCACACACTAGAACTTATAGGCATGTGCTGCCACACCCACCATCCCCACCATCACCACCACCGTGATTGTTTCCCTGGGACAGTCTCACTCTTCCAACAAGGCTGACCTGGAATTTGGGATCCTCCTGCTTTAGCTTTTCTAAGTCCCAGGATTATAGGCATGCACCACCACGCATGTCCCCTAAGTGACTTTCTCAGTGACTTTTACAAGTGTATAGGCTATAAGGAAAGTCTGTACCTTCTTGTGCTTTCCTGAGACTACACAGGTGTTTACAGACCTACATCAAAACTGAAGCTGGATCTTTCTGTCTTCCTTCTATTATTATTCTGGTCAGATGTTTCTTTGACAAAGTGGAACTTGGGAATCCAGTAAGCTAAAACCTGAGGGCTTCTCAGACCAGGATCTAGACTTTCCTCTCGTCTCTCTAACCCTTTCATATAGCTATGACAATTTACCTTCTCTAAGAAGCCAGTCTGTTGCCAGAAGACCATTCGAAGATGCCTCTCAGCCTAATATGATTTTGTCACCTGTGGGAGGCTCCTGAAGATTAAAAATGGGAATAAAGATACAAGAGTGAATCTAGATTCTAGTTAGAAACCAGGGTGAAATACATTTGAGTAAATTGGGGAGCATGCGCTTAAAGCCCTTCTTACTCAGGAGCTGAGAGGAGACTCCCAGGAGCATGGACGTTTGAAGCTAGCCTGTTGAGGGAGGGGTGTGGTAGTCGTAAGGAAAATAGAGTGTCCCCTTATTTCATTTTTGCTTGGATTGACAACATGCTTGGTGTAGATAGAACTCTTTAAATTATAGCTAATAAGAAGCCTTAAAGGAGCTTGAGATTTTTGACAGTAACATGATTTTGTTAGTTTCTGTTTATACAATTCTAGAGGCAGATATGACTTGATTTTTAATTAATTTTCTTACTTTTTATGGATTAACTTTGTTGTTTGACTAGCACTTAATTTCAATATTCTCTGTCTAGGCTAAAGGGTTTTAATGACCTGCCTGAGGTCTTTGTACCAGGTAGAAAACGTTGGAGCAGTTTCTATTTTTTGGCTTACAGCCTATCAATGTTCTGTTGCCTATTTTGTACAGAATTACGGAGGACTTAAAATGGGGTTTGCCTTGTGTGTAGGTGCCTGAATGAGTTAATGTGCATCATGAATGCTGGTGCCTGAAGACACCAGAAGTTGGTGTCATGGTGCCCTAGGAACTAGAGTTCCGTGTAGTTGTGAGTTGACATGTGGGTACTGGGAACTGAACCCAGATCCTCTGCAAGAGCAGTAAGTGCTTTTAAATGCTGAGCTATCTTTCCAGCCCCGGTTTTGCATTTTGATGACTGATAAGACATGGGAATGGGCTCGATGTGCATGCTAACACTGCCTGTTGCATTCATGTGTTACAGTGCAGGTGCTCCTCCGTCTAGAGTAGGTCAGAACAAAGAGGACCTGGGAGTGGGGACCTCGTTGTCTTCAGCATTTGACTGTGACTCTCCACAAGGATTAGAGAGTGACCAGAAAAGAGGAGGGACATTTAGAGAAATGAGAAGGAGCCACAGGTTCCAGTCTACGTTTGTTTGTTTGTCTGACCATATGTGTGTCAGTGCAGTGTTTGCATAGTATGTATCTGTTCCATGTGCAAGCCTGTTGCCTGTAGAATACAAATAGAGCATCAGATCCCCTGGAGCTGGAGTTACAGATGGTTGTGAGTCATCACCATGTGGGTGCTGGGAACCAGACCCAGGTCCCTTGGAAAAGAGTCAGTGCTAGCCATCACTCCACCCCTAAGTTCTCAGTCTTTATGGCTCTATATAAACAGAAGCTAAGATTCAGGGCTGGGAGCTAGCAGGACCCTTTGTCAACTCGGGCTTATCATTTAGCAGTGATGGAACTTTTTCATTTTCTTGCTTCTTTCCCAGTTCCAATTCCCTTCTTTAAAAAAAAAAGTTTACAATACTATATTATCAATTCTATCTAATAATGGGCGTCATTACAACATTTTCATACATGTGTATAATGCATTTTTATCACATCTGCCATCACCTTCTCTGGTCCCCACCTCCTTCCCCCTGATCACCCCCCAGCTCATCCCCCTTCTACTCTCATGTTGTCAAGTCTTCCTCCTCCTCTTCTCCTAAGGACCCATTGGATTTCATTAGAGGTGTTACATAAACATGGGTGACAGGTCATTTACAGGAGCATGGGTACCTTACCAGTGGGTACTCACCCTGGGGGGGGGGGAAGGACTCTGACCCCTACCACCCCCTGAAATCATTAGCTGCCTATAGACCCTCAGGGAGGATTGGGCCTCATAAGCCCTTCTCCCATCCCAAGTTTTCTCGTCCTTTTCTGCTTGACAGCGCGTCATTGTGTAACCCAGCCTAGCTTCAGATTTCCAACCCCAATTCTTCCACACCCTCTTTTGTTTTCTCATCTTCTCTCTCTGCCCCATTTCTGGAAATCTCTCCAAGTCCCACAGCGCTGAGCAGCTCAGGTGGTAGGGCTAGAAGAGAACCCTTATCCTCTGAGCTTGCCCCATCTCAGAGTCTCGTGAGGAGGGAACCTGTGTTGAGTCTGGGGTAGGGTTCCCCTTGCCTCGAGGACAGGATAAGGAGGCGTGTTCTCAGTCTCCCTATTCCCTTGTGTGGAGGGAGGATGCTGGGTAAGAAGAGACTCTTTGTGACTAGATAGAAGTTTGTTTTCTTTTTCCCACATAGGAGCCTTCCATATGCCCCCTCTGTCGTAGTACCCTAGTTAGGGGAAACATTGTTTTCTGGGGAACAGGTAGGTTGGCAAGTGGGAGGAACTTCTGGGCACAGAGAAGAGAGATCAGAAAAGGGAGCTTTAAATAAACTGTAAATCACTGACATAAGGCTTCTTTCAGATGGCTAGAGACAATTTCTGTTGCATTTGGATGTAGATAAATGCTGGTTGGATTTTCCATCTCATGTCCAATCTCCAGCTTCCACATTGTCCCCCACACACAGGATGACAGCACAGCAACTAAGGTCACCTGATACGCCTTCCAGCGACATGCAACAACTAGTACCTACTATGTAGATGACCTCACATTGGTGACCATGAGAGTAGGCACTGTCCCTCCTCTCACAGAGCTTACAGGCCAATAGAAGTTACACACAAATGAAAAATAATTCTAAAATCTTGCCACTACGCTGTATTGGGGAAAGGACAGTGCTGAGGGAGCATAGAGCAGAGGAGCTAAGATGAAGAGGAAAGGGGCTTGGGAGATTGTTAGATCCCGCCCCTCTGTGTCATCTAAGACTTGTCCAGGGGTACTCCAGCTTGGCCATGTTGTGTGGTGATTGCAACCCTCCAGAGTACTCCTAGCTTACAAAGCAAGCATCTTTGTCTTCCCCAACTACTAAGTAGCTGTTGGGTTTTAGAAGATGACATTCTTCCAGGAAATAGCCAGAGGGAGAAGAATCTATTTGAAGACAGACCAAATTATGATTTAGAGTTCACTAATTTCAAGATTTAGATTGACAGCTCCTGTCACCCTAAGACCTCTGTGGTTTTCCTGTGTTCCTGTCCCTGCATTCTACCTACAAGTGGCCATCTTCCCATTATCTGGAACTTATTGGGATTGGGCTTTTCCTCCAAAGGGCAGACTAAAATAAATCAAAATCCCCCTTCCACCACCATCCTGGGAAAAGTGCCGGGGATCAAGCTGGAGGTCTGCCAAGGCTGGACAAGTGCTCGTCCCTCAGCTCTGACCTCAAA